TTAATAGCTATTTGTTAGGGAATATGCTGCCCCAGAGTGTGATGGAGTTTCCTTCTTTCAAGGTTTTTTTTAAAAAGGCCATCTATTGGGAATGCTTTGATTGTGTATTCCAGCATGGCAGGGGGTTGGACTGGATGGCTCATGAGGTCTTCTCCAACTCTGTACTTTATGAAATATCCAGGGTCCTCTCTGAGCAAAATGAGCAAGAGGCTTCTAACCAAAGGAAGTCTGGCTTGCCAGATTTTGAAGTGAGTGAAGGAAGAGACTTTATTATCATCTACCCCCTCTCCCCTTAAGACCTTTAAGCCCATGGCCCCAAGTCACCTAATTGCACTCCTGCAAGAGATTCTTCTGTGTGCTATTGAAACCTATGTGAAAACTTCACATTAATGTGAAGACTTCCACATTAGTTGGATTGTTCATACACCAGGACCATTTAAGGGAAAGAAACATTCGAACACTTGAAAAAGTAGTCAAGAAATCTCTTCCCTTCTTTCTATTCTTCCTCCCAAGCTTGCTGCCTTTCATTTGATTTGCTCTTTAACTCTGTATCCCTATTACATTTGCAGCATAATTTTATATTGAAATATTTCCCAAGCCATTTCTTAACCTTTCTTCAGGGGTCACAACCCCTTTTGAGAAACTAATGAGTCCAGTGGACCTCCTCTCCAGAAAAGTTACACAAAACACATTTTTTTTGGAGTAACAGGAAGAAAATTGAAGGAAAATTGTGCCTGGTTCATGGACCACATGTTGGAACCCTTGCTATGGACTGATAGCTGTTAAAGTTCTGCTTAGCAATACATATATCTTTGTTCTTCACAATTTTTTGGATTTGTCTCATTCACATTCATACATCACGAAGTTTGAGAAATGCCAACTACCGGTACTAAAAAGATTTGCAAAAATATAGAGTGATGTTCTGGATTAATCACATTAAGTGTATGATACCATACATATCTGTTGAAAACTGGCAGCAAGATTCACTTCCCAGAAACTGAGTATAAGATGCACAATTGCAACCATAGAACAATTTACCTGGAAGTATGCCCCATTGAACTAGACCAATTGGTTCCACTGACTTCTGTAGTAAAGTGGAAGTTCTGATGGCTTCAAAATTAAATCATTGACAAAGAATTCTGAAGAGGACACATTGCATGGAGTCTGGTCCACACAATACATAGACTCTACTTCCTATAGGCATTATTTGGCATGGGCACTTGGGTCAATTAAAACTGTAAGATCTGTGGCAGATGGAGAATGTGTGCATCAGGGTTTGGGATGAACAGTTCATAATTAGTCATACAAATAATTTGTATGCAAAAAATTTCAAATTGAAATCCTCACATTTTTAGTTAAAAGGTTAAGGAAGCAGGAGAAGTAAAAGACCTCTGTTTGAAACTGAAGAAAGATGCTGACAATGAGAACAAACAGTAAGCTGGTAGACTATTGATATCAAGCATCTAACTTGATTTTTGGGCTACAGTTCCTGTACTCCTGAACCAACATGGCCACTCATGCCTATGAGCCAAATACTGATGCAAACAGCTCCATATATTATTAACTCATATCCTCCAACTGTCGCAATTTGGCAGGACAGTCCCGATTAATACTGTCATCCCACTTTTTCTGCTAGCTTTAAAATGCCCCAGTTTCTCTCTCCTTCTCCCACTTTTTTCCTTGCCCCCTCCAACTTACTTCAGTTGCTGAAAACTGAGATCAAAGTGCAAAAGTAGTTTGCACTCAGTTAGGTTGTGGGGGGGGGGGGGAGATGGAGTTTTGCCCTTTCCAGTTGATTCAAGCAAAATGCAGTTTCTTGTATGTTCTTCCTCATTGACCACTTTTGCCATCTGGGCCAGACTTGGATGTTGCTTGGCCAGACTTGGCCACACATGTCGGAGAGTAGTGGAGTCTCCTTCCTTGGAGGTTTTTAAGCAGAGGCTGGATGGCCATCTGTCAGGGATGCTTTGATTGGCAGTTCCTGCATGGCAGGGGGTTGGACTGGATGGCCCTTGTGGTCTCTTCTAACTCTATGATTCTATGTCCTAGTTTTCATTAGTGAAATGCTAGAGCCTGTACCTTTATTTCAGCAAAAATTATATCCCAGCAGTGCACAAACCACACCCAAAGAGGTAATGGCTGGGAAACAGGCTGAAGTCCACAAAAGATTATGGCAACAGATTTACTAACAGTAAATATGTTAGTTTTTCAATTGGAAGAGGTGGCTCATTGTTGGTGGTGCTACCTCTCCATGGAAGCAAAAAATTATGAGCTTTCTTACAATTTAAGATAAAACTGGTAACAGGTTTGCCACTAGGTGTCTGCCTTGGGAAGCATAGAAGGAAGAGCTTCTCATATAACTGCCTCACTGTATGCAACTTTGAGATATTGTTCAGTGGTTAGTTAGCTATGTATGAATGTTAACTTCAAGAAAAAGTGTTTTTGCAAATATGGTCAACTTATGCTAATATACCATGCTCATATTCTATGTATCTCTATGTGTCTCTGCCTCTTTTTTCCTTTCCTTTTCCCTTTCTTTGTGTTTTGAAAAGTAATTGTTTTAAAAAAGTAAGCACATAAAACAACAATCTAAACCAGAATTTTAAAAACAGCAGAAAAATAATCAAAGTACTACATCAAAGCCTTTGATGGGAATAACTGTAGGGTAAAAGATCTAATAAGCACTAAAAGTTTTGCAAAACTAGAAAGTTGTGGGAAAATAAAGTCTTCTCCTTGTGTGAAAAATACAACAGGGTGAAAATGCTGGAGAGCTTTTCTTCTTCACCTGAGTACTACCACCAAAAATACTGCCTTTGCTTATTTTGGCAAATATTTTAAGAAGAACAATTTCATAAATATTAATAGCACCTAGTCAGCTCTTTCCTTCTTGAGCTCTCATATGTTTACTAATGTTAAATTTGGCATGACTCTTTAATAGCTTATTATATAAGAGAATATTAAATGGCTCTATACACTGCTGGGTATAATATCCAATGGTGCTTGATAAGAGAAAATGAAGATTATTACTTTAAAATGATGTTTTTCCCCAATTTCAGATCTATGCTGCTTTAAATATCTTCTTTGGAATGGCAAGTATTGGTTTGCTTACTGTTGTTGCTATTGATCGTTACCTGACAATCTGCAAGCCCCATATAGGTATGTTTTTCAAATATTTAACATCTAGAAAATCCAGGATAAATTTTAATTATTTATCAAATTTATATTTTGGATTATTCTTTCTGGATAAATCTGAAACTGGTATTCAGTAAATTCCGATTTTGCATATAGAATTGCGTAGGACACACAAACATCTCCAAACTAAGCTGGTGAGTTCATGTGTTGTCTGGGAATGGATGGAAATGGATTTTGAGGCTTAGTTCCCCCCCCCCCCCAACACACACAAATAAAGTTTCCTCCGGTGTTATTCACCTAAAAAGTTGTCTTCCTGCTTAGAAACCCAAGGAAGGATAGCAATTTCCTGAGATTTCAGCCTTCAGACCTGGCAATGAATTAATTCACTAATAGCCTATGGTCCAAACAATAAGCAGACCCAACAATGCTTTGATTCTAAATTAAAATTATGATGGATGTTTTCAAAGTGGTTTGGTAGTAGGTATGCTCTCATCATGGAAACAAGGAAAGCTGAAAGCATTTAACCACTGCGCCACAGCCCTGGTGGCGCAGTGGTTAAATGCCTGTACTGCAGCCACTCACTCATAGACCACAAGGTTGCGAGTTCAATACCAGCCAGGGCTGAGGCTCGACTCAGGCCTGCATCCTTCTGTGGCTGCTAAAATGAGTACCCAGCTTGTTGGGGGGCAATCAGCTCACAGTTGTAAACCTCTTAGACATCCCATAGCGTGATATGAAGCGGTATATAAATAAGCTGCTGCTTTTGCTTTGCTGAAAAGCAGAATATTAACAGATGATTTCACAGGGGCAATATAATACCTTAAGGCAGACATCTGTGATGCCATGTCCTCCATACGTGCTGGACTCCAGTTCCCATTATCCCCAGATAATATGGCAGATGATATTCTATATATTTTCTCTTTTTTGTTTAGGCTTAGATTAGGAAGATAAATAGTTTCATTTTGTTAATTTTATGAAGACAGGCTATAATGTGGATATTAACCAATATGAGCACTTTCCGAAATGGTAATTATCATGTTTATAGATGTGTACATCTTATTCTCATTTTAAAATATTGTATCTTCTTCAATACAAAATTTTAGAAGTGTTTGGAAAGACTAAATAAAATTAACATCGTCTGTTTTTCAATAGGTAGTAGACTTACTGCAAGCAACTACACAATCCTGATTCTTGCTGCCTGGATCAATGCACTTTTTTGGTCCTCCATGCCTGTTATGGGCTGGGCAAGCTATGCCCCAGATCCAACTGGAGCCACCTGTACTGTAAACTGGAGGAAAAATGACATGTATGTTTTCAGTTGTGTTTGTTCATAGTCTTCTGCTGCATTTGTGTCAAGAATCCACTATTAAGGACAGAAAGGCTTGGCTAGGCACATAACGCAGGCTCACACTCCAGTAAGGGCCTGCTGAAAAGTTCCCCCTGGCTGTGCTCCTTCTAGTAGCAATTAAAAAGAAAGAGAAGAAAAGCAACAGTGGCTGGTGACAATCATGGGGGTGAGAAGGTGAACTGAATGTAGGAAGGAGCCTATGAAGCACCAGTGCCCATGTCAATGAAACCACATCATGACAGTGGGAGAAGGGGCAGGAGGAAAACTTGCCAAAAATAGATTTTGGGTCTGTGGGTGATAAGCACCTACTCCTAGGGGCTGTTGGAGTTGAAGAGCAGAAGGTTGAGAACAATAGGTACACTCTTGCTGTTACTGTGTGCCTTCAAGCTATTTCTGATGGCAACCCTAAGGTGAACCTATTATGGGTTTTCTTGGCACGATTTGTTCAGAGAAAGTTTGCTGTTGCCTTCTCCTGAGGCTAAGAGCATGTGACTTTCCCAAGGTCCCCCAGTGAGTTTCATGGCCGAGCTGGGAATCGAACCCTGGTCTCCAGAGTCATAGGCCAACAGTCAAACCACTACACCACACACAACACATAGGTAAACTGCATGCCTTGTTATGAGATGTAGTGATGGCTGCTGTCTTGGAGTGTTTTAAAAGGGGATGAGAGATGACAAAACTCATGGAGTATAAGGTAGGTAATCAATAGCTACTAGTCATCACAGTTACATGCTGCCTCCATTTTTGTTTGCAATATGCTTCTAAATACCAGTACTAGAGCACTACTAGTCTCATTCCAATTGGAAGCGTTCCATGGGCATCTGGTTACACAAGTGGGCTCCTTTGTTGCAGCCACTGATTCTGCAGGCACATTCCCAACCCATTCTTTCACTTTTGACTTTTTGGGTAGAGAGCTAATTGGCCATTGTACAGCAGGTGAACTCAAGGCCCTGGCATGCATCAGTTGCATGGTGGTGGGATCCAGCGCATGGTGGTATATAATTACGTGATGATAAAAGTATGTAGAATCTTGTCCCCCAAAATAATGATTAGAACATTCTTCTTTACTGCATGTGTGCAGATGAAGAAAAAGAGATTGATACCAAAGAGTCTAAATAATGTGCAAATTAAAGACAAGGGAGAACAGGACATTTTGCTCTCATGGGCAATTGGGTGGAGTATTCTATAATTTAATGGCACAAAGTGGCCACAGATTTGCCAGCTGTGTCTCTAAATTTTACCAAAATGTTGTTGTTATTATGGGATGTAATATCTTAAATATTTTTAGAACATTTTAAAAATTTCTAATAAAGTTTTCTAATAACGTTTGTATTTTTCACTTCCAGATCCTTTGTTTCTTACACAATGTCTGTAATTGCTGTTAATTTTGTTATTCCCTTATCGGTTATGTTCTACTGTTACTACAACGTTTCAAAAACTATGAAGTGCTACATCAGAAACAGTTGTCTTGAAAGCATCAACATAGATTGGTCTGATCAAATAGATGTAACAAAGGTATGGTAATTTTGACAGAGGTAGACTGAAATGCTAAAACTGTTGAGATACTGAGCAAAATGACCAAAAGAATATATGCAGTGCTGTTTCTCTTTCTCTCTTTCCCTCCCTCTCAATGTTGTGGGAGGTCAGAAAACAAAACAGGGTGGAGGAACCAGAGGTCATACATGAGTTTTAAACTACAATTCTCACAATCCCTTAGCATTGGCCATGTTGTCTGTAACTTTTTGGAAATGAAGTCCAAAACATCTGGAAGGCTTCCTATCCCTGCAATAAAAATAGTCACCAGCTGACCTAGATGAGTAGTCTAAGTAGTTTCCATTTGGAGTTGTCTTTAGCCTCACCGACTTTACCTACATTTCTATAGGTAGGCAACCTCATGAGTGAAACATCTCCAAGACATCCTGTCACAAATTACTCTGCTCAGGTCTTACAGACTCAGGGCTGTGGCTTCTTTGATTGTCTGTCTATGTAGTATGCAATCTTCCTTTCTTTCTACTCCCCTCCATCTTTCCTAGAATTATTGTCTTTTCTGATGAGTCTTGTCTTCTCATGATGTTCCCAAAGTATGACAATCTCAATTTAGTCATCCTGGCTTCCAATGAGAGTTCAGGCTTGATCTGCTTTAAGACCCATTTGATTTTTTTTTAGCTGTCCTCAGCACTCTCTCCAGGTCACATTTCAAATGAGTTGATTCTCATTCTGTCAACTTTCTTTATTGTCCAGCTCTCAGATATCAAACACTTTTTAAATCTGATGCATGCTTTGCAAAATATTTTCCACACTTTACTCCATTGCTCTCTGTCTATCATGTAGTGTTTGTACACCATGTAGAAAAGAACTTTCTGTGTCACTTCAGTATTGCTGCAGTTATGTTCACAGTGTACACAAGTGTGACATAAGTGTTATTACAAAAGAAAGGTAGTTTCTAGAATAGATTGTTGATTCTCTTGAAACCTCTGAAGAAATGTATGCAAATTGAATTACCCTTGATTAATAGGTTTATTTTTAAAAAAATATTTAAGGTAGTGTAGCAAATACCTGCAATGTTGATATTTTAATCTGACTTTATATTTGTTAAATTTTGTAAGTTCAGTTTGTCAGCACGCAAATGCTATGCATACATTCCAAAATCTTTCAGGACAAATATTTAACTGAATCTGTTTAGCATAGATTACCAGTTCCACTTCCATTATGATCAATATCTGAAATTGGTGGAGTTTTTAATCACAGGCTAGAATTTAATTATGTGAATAGTTACATTTGATCTAAGTGATAGTACACATAACTTCTAATTTCTTTAATACCTATGTCTTAATAATCTACATAGAAATGAATCAGTGCTGTTTAAGGGCCTTTGAGGGACCAATAGCAAAAAAACAAAACAAAACTAACCCCAAACTGGACAGTTTGAAGATATGAAGAACAGATCAAAAAGTTGCTACTATAGAACAGCAAATATTTTGTGAGATTATTACATGTTTGTTCTCTTTTACAGATGTCTGTTGTCATGATTTTAATGTTTCTGATGGCTTGGTCTCCATACTCTATTGTGTGTTTATGGTCTTCCTTTGGAGACCCGAAGAAAATTTCTCCTGCCATGGCAATTATAGCTCCACTATTTGCCAAGTCATCTACATTCTATAATCCTTGTATTTATGTCGTTGCAAACAAAAAGTAAGTGATTTTGCAAGATAGAGTGGGCGACAGTAGAACACATCCTTTATCTCTTTTATAACTTTCCTGCTTTACTGTTCTGTGGAGAGAGGGCTGTTTATTGCTGAAAAGTGTTCCCTAAACTGCTTCCTTTGGGGTATAAAAAGCGTCTTGGAGGGAGGGATTTTCAGAAAGGTGGGGTCCCAATGTTGAACCAAAATTGGATGTTCCAGATGATAGGTCCACAGCTATTTTTTCTCTTCAAAGTAAAAGTTGTCATGTTAGGCTTGCTTCCTAAACATTCTGGAGTAGCTGTGTTGGCCATTTAGCAAATTCAAACAAAATTCCATCAGTGATACCTTTATTGGCCAACCAGAATGCACAATATACTTGTTGCAAGCTTTTGAAGCTCCATCAGGCAAGATGTTACAAACCAATCAGAATAAAAACAATTGGAGATGTTAGATGCCTACATGTTGTTTCAGTCTTTAGTTAAGATGGTATATGGTGGGGAGGATATCTTTTGCAGGCAGGCTCCTCCTTCTGGCCATGTGGGTAAAGGGAGATTTCCAAAGTCCAGCAAATTTAAAATCCATTTGCATCTCAACAGGGACCCCTCTTTTGCAATCCAATATGTCTCCATTCCAGTGAGGTTACAGGCCTCTTTGTGGCACTGGAATGGAGACATATTGGGTTGTAAAAGAAGGGTCCCTGTTGAGATGACATTAGCAAAAGTGATGGCAAGGAAGAGAAGATAGTACTCTTTAGAAGGGAGACACTAAGGGCATGTCACCTAAAGGCTTTCTGAAACAGTTACTGACTTCCAAACTCTGACACTAAAAAGATATCTCTGCCCTGCAGGTTTCGAAGGGCTATCCTTGCAATGATCCGATGTCAAACGCGGCAGGAGATAACAATCAACAATGTCTTACCGATGAGTGTCTCTCAAAGTACGATTGCATGAGGTTGCTGATGGAAAAAAAAACCCACTGCCACTATGTTTGCTTGCTAACTTTTGCATGAGAATCCTGGAAGGAATGTCAGATCTGTGTTGTGTAAAATAACATTGCTTCCTACTGAGTTAGTTGTGTACATAGCTGGATTTCTAATGGCTGCTGTGATACAAGTAATAGAGACCTTACCTTCAGAGTTGGTCCTGCCATAGCAGAATGAGGCATTTACTTGAGGTGATGGATGCTGGGGGTATCAGAAATGGCAGCTCAAAAATATTTCTCCAGAATCCTCTGGCCATTCCCCTGTGTTGGAGAGCAGAGTTTTGTATACCACATAGCTTGTCCTGGCCCCTCTAAATTGTCATGCTACTCACAGAAATGGCAGAGGACACTGTCCCACTGACAGTGTCAGTTCCTAGTCCAAGCTGCAGCTTTATTGATGGAAGAAAGGTAGAGGGGATTATCCTGTCCTTCTTACAGGCACTGAATGTTGGTTCAGTCCTGTTCACCTTCTCCAAGACATAGGATGCCCTGCTGTCCCCTGATGCCATGCCATCTGATGAAACAAAAGAACCTGCAGGCCAAATCCTATGCTTGCCTGTTCTTTGGATGGTGCATGTCTAATGGTACGGCTGGATAATTTTAAGACCTGCATTGACAGGTCTAATGGCTTCCTTATAGTCTTTAACAGGCATGCCTATTGCTGCTCTCCTCCCTGTCCCACAGATATTTCATGTTTTTCAACTGCTTGTATGTTACTGGTGTGCTAGAGCAAAATCTTAAACAATTTTTCCAACAGTGATGGGAAAAAAGTACTTTATGCACTCCCCTGTTTTAAACTTAAATCATAGCACTATTGTTAATACAGGAATAAAATGGAGTTTGCATCTGCTGGCCAGAAGCTGAACAGATTTCCTTGGGAATAGGCACCAATTTGTTGCAGAAACAGAAAATACATTTAAAAGTAAAAATAATAAAACAGGCATCTGTAATATGCATATGCCTGACCAGGTACTAATGTGGTGTAGTGGTCTGGGTGTCGGACAACAGCTCTGGAGGCCAGGGCTGAAATCCATGCTCAGCCATGAAAGCCCACTGGGCATATCACATTCAGCCACAGAGGAAGGCAATGGCAAACTCCCTCTGAACAAATCTTGCCAAGAAAACCCTGTGTAAGTTTACTTTAAGGTTGCTTTAAATCAGAAATGACTTGAAGGCACCTGACAACATCCAGCTGTCCCCTATAAAATGCTTTTGGAGATAAGAAGAGTGAGAAGCTACTGGGCTGGGCAGTATCAGCCCTGTTGTGCCGTCATATGGTTATGATGGCCCAGTTGCTAATGCTGATCCTGTTTGCCACTGTCCACATTGCCTAATGGTCTCTGCTTCTTCTTTGGGGGCCTTCAGGGTTGCATGCTGCTGAATTTTATTCTTAAAAGTTAGTCCTAATTGTACCATTATTGTAC